TGGTGTGTTACCATTCTCATTACTTTCTAGAATCTTCCTAATTTCCTCTCTTTGTTTGGACTAGTATCCAGTCTTTTATGAGAAGTGACTTGATGAGGCTCCAAGATATTGTCTTTATTTTTCTATTATTTCTGTTGTTGATTTCTAGCTTAATGGTTGTGTAAGTCCAGGTTGACTAGAGATACAAATCCTGATATGTATATATACATATGAGAGAACTTTAAACCAGGAAAAAAGTATACATCAATAAAGCAGCCCAGCCCAGTCCAGATCAAGTCCATAACTTTGATATCAGTCCATAAGTTTGATATTGGCCCACAAATTCCTCTTCAGACTCATGCAGCAAATACAATAGTGCTGAATGCAGGAAGATCACAGGACAGTGGGGGGGGGGTGTCTTGTAAAGCATCTCACCACTGGGCTGGCTCTCCATGTGGCTCCTCCAGATCCAGGGCTCTGGCTGCCATCAGTATAGCTCCATGTGGCTCAATAGGAATGTGTCCCAACTCCATGGAGATAAAAGAAGATACCAGAACCCTCCTGCTGGGTGTTACCTTGTGACCCCTTAGCTCAAGTTGACAGGAGATTATGTAACTGCTGCAACGGTGAAGTGGTCAGAGCAGATGGATTGAACGATCTCTATGTGTTCAAGTTTCTCAAACTTGCTTTATGTCTCAGCATGTGTTCTATTCTCAAATGTGAGCCATGTGCTTTGGAGAAAAGGTGTGTTGTTTTGTTTTCTGCTGATGGATGGAGAGCTCCATGGATATCTATGAGGTCAAGTTGATCAATTAATTGTCTTGTTCAGCTTTTCCGTTCCTTTATTGAGCTTCTTACCTGTTGATCTATCTTTCTTTGAAAGTGGTATATTCAAATAACCTAGTATAATAGTTGATCTATTGATTTCTCCTATCATCTCTTTGAATAATTGGTTGATGAATTCTAGGGTCTTTTGTTGGGATCATATAAGTTTATTATGTTTGTGGGTTCTTGGTCTATTTATTCCTTGAGCATTATGTAATGTCTGTTCTGTCTTTTGGAAGGAAGGCTTATTAATATTCTATGCTATGCAAATGACATAACCTTACTTGCTGAAAGTTAGGAGGACTTGAAGCAATTAATGATGAATAGCTGGGTCAATAGAAAACATTTTAATAAACAGAACAGATTAAAATTGTCAAGAATTTCATTTTACTTTAATCCATATCAATGCTTATGAGACAGCAATCCAAGTCAAACATGGACAGCACTGGACAAATCTGATACACAATGCCTTTTTAAACTCTAAAGAGCAAATATGTCAAATTGTGTGCTAAGGTGCACCGGATCCAACCAATGATATTTTCAATTCCTCTATGTTCATGTGAAACTATGACAATGATAGAGAGAATTCATGCATTTGAAATAATACACTATTGATTTAGAATATAGAAAATACCATGTACTGTTAGAAGAATAAACAAATCTGTCATGGAACCATAATGCTCCTTAAACCAGAATGGAAATTTCATCTCACCGACTTGGAACATAGTGTCGGGAGGATGACATTATGCTTGTTGGAATGGAGGGTAACCAAAAAGAGGAAGACCCTCAAGGGGACGAATTGACACAGTGGCTATAATAATGGAATGAAACGTAACAATTTTAAGGTTGTTTCAGGACTTGGCAGCATTTCATTTTGTCCTATAAAGGCTCACTAGGAGAAGGAGGTCACTAGACAGTATCTAATAACAACAGCATTGAGTTTTATGGTGGAAATTAAATTAATAGCAAGGGCCTTGATTTCAAGAGCAGTTCAACTATTCTGATGTTTATATTTCTATGGCTTCTTTGGAGTGTATCTATTTCTAGAAAGTTTCTGCTTATATAATAAAAGGAATGTCATCAAATATATAGATAGGCTAGATAGTTGATATTTCTACTATATTGAGTTTCTAATCCATGAACATGATATGTCTGCATCATCATTCTGAAAAATATCTTTACAGCAGAAATTGGGCAGTTTCTCATAATTTACATTTTTAAATAACATTTAATATTTGTTGCAACTGTGAAAAGATACATTTAATTGTTGTATATTGATTTTGTTCCCTAAAGCCATACAGAATTATTTTATTCATTTTAGGTTATGCTTTGTGGATCTCATTAAATTTTCTGTAAGAATTTATTATTGAAAATTAAAAGTAAATTTCTGTTTGCACCCTTTATATGCCTTTGTTTCTTTTCTGAAATTGTTCAGGATGCAAGTTTCTCTTAGTTGTTCCATGACAGAAATTTCTGCTCTGGCTTTTTGAATGTTGATGGGGTCATCTTCCTCTCATGCATTATTTTAATTTTTGTTTTTATACTAATATGATCCTGTCCTTACCACCTTCATGAGATTTGTATTTCGTTGTTTTCTGTTGTGCTTCACAGTGGTGAAGCATAATTGGAGTGGATTTAATAATGAATGATTCAAGGTCTTAAAGGAAATGCACGGCTCAGAATGAGCAATAAAGATCCATAAGGCATTTGAGTAGTAAACAATAAAGGCGGGAGACGGGACACAGCATTAGGACGGATGGTGATTTTGAAGCCACAACTCATTTGAAGAGTGATTTAACCATGGTGGGGCATGCTCTAAGATACATGTGGTGGTGATTATACAATTCCCCTTGAAACTATTGAACGAGTGATCTGCTCAATTGTATGATATGTAAATCGTGCATCAATGAAACCTGTGGGGGCAAAAAAGTTAATTTCTGTCAGCACGATTTATATGCCTTTGTATCTTTTCTTATCTTCTAAAGTGTTTAGAAGCTCAATGTTGAGAGGATGTGATGAAAGCAAATATTCCTAATCTGCTCTTCACCATAGAATCCCAAACTCAAGCCCACCACCACATTTATGATGTTAGCTTTTCAAAACCAAAACATTCCAAATACACTAACTTCAGGAAGATTGCAAGGCAAAGTAGCCCCATAGGACACATTCGAATGTGTCCATCCAGAATCTGAGGCTATAAATTTTTATGGAAGCAGATTGCTTCATGTTAATCGGTGGAGTTTTAACTTCTATTCTCTGGGTTAGCAAACAAGCAAATTAACCATGGCACGACCAGGACTCCTTTAATCAATCTTCAGATAAATGATCATATTCATAGAACATACCTGTGGTTTCACATTATGCTACAAAAGTAGAGTTACCAAGGCAATATGCTTTAGGAAGAAAAGTAGCTCACTGCTTACTCTGCTATGTAGATGCATAATGATCCTGTAGGAGTAGGCAGAACTGCCCCATGGCTTTCCAAGACACTAACTCTGTCATGGAGTAAAAGCGGCATCTGTTTCCCATGCAGTGGCTGGTGGTTTTGAACGGCAGGCGTTGCAGTTAGCAGCCCAATGCATAACTACTATACACCAGAAGATAAGCCCAATAAAGTGCAGAAAAAACCAGAACAAGTATATTCAATTGCTTTTCATTTCAAAGTATTTTCTACACATATTTTAAGACACCTGTTTTTCAATATTGAAAAAGAATATCAATCCCTACTGGCCACTCTGATAAGAAATCAATATTAGATGATGCCTTAGAAACAATTGATGGAACTATTAAGTTTCTAGATGAAAATGCAAACACATACCTTCACTACACATTAATATTACTTGATTCCATTAATAAAAATAATTCCATAATTGACTAAATACTAAATACACTGCTTAAATAAACAGATGCAACGCTTGGGAAATTGGGTCAATATCTAAACTAAGTGGAAAGCAGCTACGTTAACAATGAACTGGAAGAGATGCATATATACACGGTCACTCCAAAGAAAGGTGACCCAACAGGATGCAGAAGTTATTAAATAATATCATAGGTAGATAAAATGTTGATGA